TTGAAGACGAAGCCAGTGAGAGAACTGACACAGTATCAAGAACTTTGGTGACATCCTCTGCGACTTTGCCCTGTGTGAACTGGAGATCTACCAAGCGGTTGGTCTGGACGGGAGTTATTAAGCAACATGCAAAGAGATGCGATGGAGTTCATACTCGGAATCTGGCGCCGAAAAGATCAATCTGTTTGTCGAGCGTGTCCAGTTCGGTACCGAGTTCGTCACGCTTGAGTATGCGAACAAATTTTTTGTGTTCAACACTGAGGAGCCTCTGTGCATTCTCTAGTAGTCTGCGACGATGGTGAGCAAGGAACAAGAACAAATGAAGAAAGTCTCGGCCAAAATTACTCACCTCCTGTATTCCTTCAAATCTGAGCCCAGACGATGAATCTGAGCAGCATGGCCATTATCATGCAGTCGAAGGATTGCTAGTGCAATATCGTAGAAAAGTACAGCGACCTTGTCGAGAAGCATGTCTCGTTTCTCGTCGTTATCTCGAAGTTGCTACGCAGATATTGAAATCAAGACTACCACGGTACGTTGACCCTTAAATACCTTGTAAACTTTGACGAACTGTGAAAGAATTGCCCCGATCGGCGCGACAAAAGGTGCTGCTTCTATGACCTTGCCGACCTGCTCCACAATCGCGAGAGCAGCTAAGATATTGGATATAACGGAATCCTTAGTGTCCACGTGAGGTTTGGGTGCTGCTTCTGCAAACAGTGCTCATGAGACAATAAGACTTTGGAAGGAGAGGAATACCTAGAGGTTCAATGGTCGGTGAATTCGGGTCTACTGTGGGGGATTTCTGTTGAATCGAAGCCGGTATATTATAATCAAAAATATTTGTTCATCCAAGATGCTCACCTCTGTCTCGAAAGCTTCCCTTGAACCTAACGCGGGCCTCCCTGAGGCCGCCGCCGAGGCCACCGTTTCTGGCAGAACATTGGCAGTATCTGGTGGCGTTAGAGATTCCTGCACAGGCGGCACATTTCTGGGAGCATCCACAGAGTTGGCACCTTGCTTCGTGAAGACCTTGCGTTCGAGGTTGCGGAACTGTTCCTTGATTCCTCGGAGACGAGACGGTGACTTTTTCCAGTCCTGCATTGGATGTACAAGTCGGAGGGTTGTCGTCTAAGGTCTGCTCACAGCTCTCACTGCTATGTACTGCCGCCGATGAGGTAACTGACAGACGGAATGCGCGTGGCTTGCGTCAATGTCCGTGATCGGAGGTAGGTGGGCCCGATAAGAATGTGCAGTGTCTTGGTCCTTAGCAGTTTCTCCTGAGAACGTCCGGAGAAACGAGCTTGCAATGTACGAGTCGGCGGGTTGTCGTGTAACGTCCGCTCACAGCGCTCACAGCTACCTAAAATCCAGTGTTGAGTCGATCAGTATAGCTCGGCTCAACACGTGTTACACCAGTTTCTTTTTCTGGAATTCTATGACTCTATTCGGCCCAGCTGAATCTGAGATCGGGACGCGTTTGACGCGTCAACTTCCCTGTGTTGCATGCCTCCGGGATTGCATCTTCAGAAGTTCCTCAGAGTGATCTTCATAAGTTATAAAATATTAGCAGAGACTTGTTTCATCACGTCAAAATTCACTCTAATTGAACTTGAATTGAATTTCGAATGAGAAACTATTAAGTATCCTGCGCTCTTGTTTCGAGGAAGCCGTGTTTACATCTGTTTGTTCCATTTCTTGCAAACGCGTCAATCACATGATATCACTTATTTATTTATAAGAATAAAATAAAATTTATTGTCTATTTTTCTGCAAAGAAAACAGTCGCTCAGACGTCGAATTCGAACGCAATCCTCAGCGCATTCTCAAAATCCGCGATGATGTCGCTGATGTCCTCGATCCCGACCGATACCTGTGTGGTGAGGTAAGTATGTTATTCATTCCTTGTTTGCATAACGGCGGAAGAAAAAAAAAAAGCACACGTAGTACGTACCCTTATCAAATCCGGCTCCACCCCACTCGCGCGCTGCTCCTCCTCGGAAAGGAGACCGTGTGTCGTCGACGCGGGGTGTATCACCAGCGTCTTGGCATCGCCTAGGAAGTTCGCAGTGGTCGTCAGTCAGCATACTTGACCATAGATAGGAAGAAGGATTGCACAACGCACCGAGGTTCGCCAAGTTACTCGCGAGCTTGAGCAGATCGACCACCTTGCTCGCTTTGGTGGCGTTTCCCTAGATGAGTTGTCAAGTCAAGTAGTAAGTATGAGTATGATGTGTATAAGAGGAGCACGGCTTACCTTGACGCCGAAATTGAGCACGCCGCCAAAGGCGCCGCGCCGCAGCGTGGTGAGCGCGCGCTGGTGCGAGGGGTGCGCGGGGAGCCCGAGGTACGAGACCCATGCGACGTGGGGGTTGGCGAGGAGCGCTCTGTATGGTGGTGGGGATGTCAGTTAGCAGAGGGGTGGTGCGAAGAAAACGTACTGGGCCAGCGCCGCCGCGTTCTCACAATGCCGTGCCGCGCGCAGGGACAAGGTCTCGATGCCCTGCAGGAGGAGGAAGGCGGCGAATGGGTTCATCGCGGGGCCGAGGGAGCGCAGCATCTACGGGTATCTCAGCACAGCGCAAAGGAGGATGGCACGGCGCAAAGGAGGATGGAGGATGGTGGATGGGTGAAGGAAAGAAGGAAACGCGAATGAATAAACGCAAACGCACCTCGACCCTTACGCGCACCGCAAAGCTCTCCGCCCCAAACGCCTCGCTGAAGACGAGCCCGTGGTACCCCTCCGCGGGGTCGGTGAATGTGGGGAACTTGCTTGGCGAGGCGGCGTTGAAGTCGAATTTGCCTGGGCGTGGAGGGTGAGTACGCGGACGTGTGGGGAAGACAGCAAAGCAAAGCCACTCACCCCCATCGACAACGACGCCCCCGATCGTCGTCCCGTGCCCGCCGATCCACTTTGTCGCGCTCGCGACGACGATGTCTGCGCCGAGCGCGAGGGGGCGCACGAGCCAGCCGCCCATGCCGAAGGTGTTGTCGACGATGAGGGGGATGTGGTGCGAGTGGGCGAGCTGTGGGAGGCAAGAGAATGTAGAAAGGGCAGATCGGGTGAGAGAGGCGGAGGGGGCATGGATGGGTATGGGAAGGGATGAGAAGGGAAGGGAAGGGAAGGGAAGGGAAGAAGGCGGAGAGAAGGGTGTAAGAGGAGCGGGGGGGGGTGCGGGGGATGGAAGAGAAGGGGAAAGCGGAAGAGGGGAGGGAGGAACAGTCAGCGAACCGTAGGCGTGGATGGGAGAGGCAGGGAACGAAAGACTGGATCGCGGCGTCCTGAAGTCGGGAGTGTAACCCTGAGGGATCATCGACGCGTCTGCATCACGATCGTGGACACGTCTGGAGTGATAAACGAAGTATGTGCTCAAGGACGCGCACTGTTTGCGCCTCGCCCATTGCATACGCTCCAGCGCCGGCACGTATCCTCCGTGCTGTGTAAGACCCATCCCACCACCTAAACGCGCCCTCGTGCCATACGGCAAGCGGGTACAGCACCGCGTAAGGTGGTAATGGAAGACGGCGTAGAGCCTGGCGGCCATGCAGATCGCGCCCCCGTTACGGACGTCCCGCAGCCGACACACAACAGCCAACTCACCTCCGCCAACGCCCTGACATCCGGCACACTGAAATTCGAGTTTGCGATGATCTCTACGAAGATGGCGCGCGTCCGGTCGTCGATGAGCGGCGCGTAGGCCGCAGGGTCGAGCGAGGTGACGAAGCGCGTGGCGATGCCGAATCGCCGGAAGGTGACTTTGAGCTGGGTGTATGTCTGTGGGCGGAGTTGGTATCGAGTAGGAATGAGCAGAATGGAAAGGACGTACCCCACCGTACAGGTGCGCTGAGGCTACGATGTTGTCCCCAGTCTCTGCGAGCGCCGTGATAGCGAGGAGCTGCGCGGACTGCCCTGACGCGGTCGCGACGGCTGCGACACCTCCCTCCAACGCTGCAATGCGCTTCCTAGCTCGAGATCAGTCACTGCAGGTCAAGGCGGTTAATACGCCACGTACTCGAAGACTGCCTGTAACCAAGACTCATCAGACGCCGCACAAAGAAGTAGAACAAGCGGGGGCACGCACGACGGTAGGGTTCCCGATGCGCGAGTAGACGTTGCCGGTCTCCTTCAGGGCAAAGAGATCTGCTCCGTGCGCAGAGCTGTCGAAGACGAAGCTGGAGGAGGCGTATATGGGCGCCGCGCGGGCATGTGTGGCGGCGTCAGGCGTCTGCCCAGCGTGCAGCTGCAGCGTGTCGAACTCGGGCGTCTTGTAGAAACCGTCGGTCATGGTGGTGCCGGTGGTGGTGATAATGCGCAGTCGTCGGCTTCGGTTACCGGGGGAGACTAAAAGGCGGGGAGCCGACGGTCTTGTGTACCGAGACGAAGATCCGGCAAGACGGCGAGGTTATATAGCGCAGTACAGCAAAGGCCAGCATCGGTTCTGGATAATCGCATCATCATCACGAATAACACGTTTCGGGTTGTTTCGGGCTAGATCGGGCTTTACACCAGCGAGCTGTACCGCGTCGCATCACAGCCCTCCTACAGCTGCTGAGAGAATTAAACACAAAGTCAACAGTAGAAAGACAGGAACTCAACGACCGTAAGTAGTCAGAATGCGCCAAGACGACTCTCCCTTTCAAGTTTCGACGTCTTTTCGTCTAAACCATGGATTCAGCGATACCGCATAGAGTGTATGTAGTGTGAAGAGAAATACCACTGGGACCGCCGTAGATGAGGACTGTGGTGGTTGAGACACAGTTGACACAGGGTTGCCAGAGAGATGCGACACGCACATGTGACCGACGCGTCAACATCAACAAATGAAAAAGGCAATCGATTTGTAGGTCCCGTATAGACGCTAGCTCCTTCGACAGCGGTTCTAGAGAGCATAGCCAGCGCGGGCAGTGTTTTCAAGTCCCGTTGCTGCCTTGAAGCTCAAAGAATGAAATTAGAGATTCCCAGCTGTCCTACATGGAATTTTGGCCGGCGCTTCTTGCTGGCGTCTGTGGTGTAGCGGTAACATTGGGTCTTCCCATGGGATAATCAGGATTAAGTATGGCCTAGCTCCGGGTTCGACTCCCGGCGGACGCATTCTTTTTGTGATATAGTATTTTGTTTATTTTTACTCCATTCATATTTGCCTAGAATACTGGCCGCTCAAGCACAATTGGCAAAAACGCAGTTCCTTAACAGGATATAATCATTCGGCACAGTCAAATCATCGTCTCAGCCGTAACACTCTCACTCATCCAAAACGCACACCTCTCCATCTCCGCCGGCGTAATATTTTCCATACTAGAATTCGTGACGGTGTCGCCTCCGCGCGTCAGCACCAGACGGCTTCGCGTAGCGCCACCACCAGCTGCGATGAACGCCTCCCAAACAGGCGAGCGCGCATTTTTAGCAGTCGATGGGTTGCCTGTGGCGGCGATTGATGTCCAGTAAGCTATGGCCTCGCTGGCTAGCACGGATTCGCTCTTATGTATGATAAGCGGTGGTTCGACGATAGGTTCGTGCGGCTAACCGTATTGAATTTCGTGAAGGTGTTCCCCGCGTTTGCGATGGTGCTGCGCATGGATCAGAGGGGGGCAAGATGACTGAGATGCCAGCTCTCACTTTGTACCTATAAAATGGTCAGTCCAAAGAAACTCGCGACACAAGATATGTACCATCGAATAAATAATAAAGATCCGAGGTATGTGCGGCCCCACGATAGGGAGTTGCGTTGAATATCACCGTGTCCGGCGCATTCCAGCTGTTCACTAGTCAGTAACAGTGTTTTCAACGAATATCATTTGAGCACGAAAACCTAAATGAGAATACGTTCTTCACTCCATTCGCAGCCAGTTTTTCGGCGAAGAACCAGTCCCTGGACATTCAAAGTTAGTTAATTTCGCAGTACTGTATGAGCGGAAAGGAAACCAGGGCACGGACATGCATGTGAAAATGATTTCGCCAGCCATGGTCCAGGCACGATCCCACTGCGTTGCGAAGGGACTTCCAGGCGCACCCGGCTCTGGATACAGCGCCAGCGCCTTGTCGATCGTAGCGTTTGACTGTGTATAACTCCATTAGAATCACGCAAGGGTGTCTGAATCTAGAGACTGACCACGCCGGGCCATCTGGAGAAGACGATGCGCCTTATGTCGTCAGCCGTTCGAAAGTCTTCTGGCTTGCCAGCCGCGAACGTCTTCCCGTCCCCCGTGCAGTGTCCACCCACAAATTCGACGTTGTGGAATTTACCAGCGGAAATCAGGCGTGAGGGGAGATCGGGCAGGAATCCGCCTGGGCCCTCGATGACTGGGGCAAAGGCACCGTTTTCTATCCGGTTGATAGCGCTCACGATCGCTCCTGCGTTCAGATTAGCTTAGCATTAGGAAACCGTCGTTCGATATAATAAATTAACCACGCACCTAGAGATGCACTGCGTAGACAAGGCATTGAGGCGCTACCAGATGCAGGACAGCCGATGATGCCAGCCGCAGCCTCTGCCATGTCAGTCAAGACAATAAAATCGCAGGGAAAGGTTGAAGGAGCTTACCGAAAAAGGCGTTAACCTCGCTATCGGTGTGGGTAGGTCCAAATCCAATCGACTGAGCCGTGACGCGTTTGAATGGGATGGGTTTAGAACCTGAATGAGCCACGGTGAGTAAAAAGTATTTATTTCCAGCGAGAACACGAAGTTTCACCTCCATATGCGACAGTCTGCATGACAACGCTTGCTCCCCCAGCGCTCTCTCCGTAGATCGTAACATTGCCGGGGTCTCCTCCAAACTTTGTGATTTGCCTCTGGACCCACTCCAGCCCTGCACGCTGGTCCAGGAGTCCGGTGTTTAAATCGCCATTTGCGGCGACGATCGGGCCACCGAGGAAACCGAAGAGGTTCAGTCGGTATGCGATGGATACGGCAACGATCCCCCCAGGATGTTGCGCCACCCAGTCGTACATCGGAAATCCTTGAGGAGACTGGGGAATTTTGTTGGAAATCAGATGGTTTTATCAAATAAGAGGAAGACGTACATTGGCATAAAAGCCCCCGCCCTACAAGTGCAAAACATTAATTCCTTTATTTATGTAGCGGAAACTCGAACGCACATGAATATAAACAGCAACTGGAAGCTTGCTTCCCGCCGAAGCATTGGTGGGCTTCCAAACATTCAACGTCAGGCAGTCTAAAGTATCGATCACGAATGAAGCCCGGGGGTCTACGGAAGAAGACGTTGGCACATACCCTCTGACCCGATCCCGACTGTGGCCGGTCTCTGGATACAGGGTGGGCCCCAACCCCGGGCGTCAAGTACCTGGGACGTAGTGACCTTCTCATCGAGTGGCTGAGGCGCCCTGAACCTCCGTTCTCCGAGCGGTGGCTGCACATATCTTATGTTCCCATAAAACGCCACGGGTCCGTTCGCGAGGCCTGCAGGGGACGTGGTGTTTCCGGCGTATGCGACGTATCCCAGATCCACCACAGGTCCCAAATTCGAGGTTAAGTTTCGCGCGCCGGCGCAGATGGCGGCTGTTAATGCTAGACAGGACAAGACGAGCATCTTGACTCGGAGAAAGTAAGCAAGTGGCTTCTGTGTCGGAGCCCAACTGCATTTTATGCGGCCCGTATTTTTAGTACGGAGAAATGATCACGAGTCGTCGGCAGCGGGAGGTCGCGGTCCGTTCGATTTCTGTGCACTCAGTTTCGCGCTTCCGAATTGAACGAGGAACCACACAGAGCGGGAAACGCCTTTCGGATTTCACCAAGATTTCCCTCGATAGCATTTTTCGGTGGCAGCCTCTCTGTGAGAAGTTTCGGGCCGCCTCGCAGCTAGACGCAACCCTCTGTAGACTCGCCCTTGACTGAGCTTTGCTTTGTGACGAGTGTCGTTGGAAGAGAGCCTATCCCAGTATCCGGCCATCTCCGAACGCCATGTGCCACAAATACAGAAACAAATAAACGTTGGCTTCGGCGCTCATCATGTCTCACATCCCGTTCTTTAAATTCACTCATCCGGACGCCAAAGAGGACTTGAAAGACAGAGGCCCATCCCCTGAAGAAGCACGCATCAACTCAAAAGCTCAGCTTCACGTGTGTTCCAGCTGCAGTGGACGCTCTGAAGTCATGAAGGAATGCGGCAGAGTTAGTGGAACATGGCCCTTTCTTCGTCGTCGTTGAATATTGACTCCTGCTAGTGCCATGGACCACGATACTGCTCGCGAGACGTTTGTATTTGCTGTTCAATTGGGATTCCAATACTCACGACTCGGACTCTCCGATAGTGCCAGGTTGCCGACTGGTAATTCTGCATCCTACAATCATTTTGTGCCACTAATTTGTCACCCAGGAAGTTTCACAAGCAGGCTTGCACCTCGGACGCGATCGGAACAGACCTCAATCTCAAACTTGCGAAAAAGCTCACGGCGAACGACTACTTGATGTCCTTTATCATGATGCACGCTGTCTTGTCCCTCGACCTACTCAACAATCCTGCCAATGCCGACAGCACCTACCTGGCCGTGACGCTCACCACCGCGGATGCTGATCCTATGGCGTATATGCGTGCGCTCATAAACCGTGAAGAGCGCGCACCAGGCTATCCGATCATGCTTCAAGTGTCGAGCATCGAAAAGCGAGACATGGCGACTATTACGCACATTGTACCTGGCGTGAAAACCTCGCTCGTCAACACGAAGGCTGCGTTGGCCGCCAGTGACGCCGACGTACCTGTCGTGATGCTCATTTTCACCAGCGGTGGTGCCAATATCATCAATCACCCTTGTCCTATACCGCCAGAGATTCTCGAAAGAGTGCGAATTATGAAGCCATTCCAGCTGAAATCTGCCCTGAGCGGATTGGTAGAGGTTCCCATGACGGAGCAGACCATTGTCGAGTGGGCTTACTTTCTGCTAATCGGCGCCTCTCAGCTCATTCCCGTAGGCACCTGAACAATGCGATATACATGGACAAGGAAAATAGGTACCTGCTGCGTACGGTTCGCGGTCTCATAATCCGCTACTAGCGCGGAATCCTAACCCTCATCCAGAAGTCCCACAAGTGAGCGGATGTTATGCTCTAGCATACAACATACATATGTATTACTATGAAGTCAATCGATCCTACGCCCGGACTGGAACAACACTGTCGCGACGACGCACGCCTCCATCAGCTTCATCTCGATGGCGGCTAGAGAGATGTCGAGTGTCACGCTATCATCTTCTTTCACGATTCGAGCCAATAACCTGGGGATATCTGACGGCAACCATGGATCCCAGTGGTAAAGCTGCTGAAGGACTTGAACGGCTGTTAATTTAAACTCCAAGAATTTAAACGACTGACACATATTCCTTGGCTGCGTGGCACCCACACGTATGTCTGTCCGCTCGCATACATTGTCCTATAACTTAACGGCATTCAATTAATATTAATATAGGACTGAAAGATTCGAGAAATCCCCAACCTAGCGTCTGCGGATACAACCAACCACGCCGAAACAGGCTGCTTCATCACAGAAGGCTGGATTTCCACGAAAGAGGTGCCGCCTTTACCCCGCCATTCAACAGATGCAATGGTGTGGCCCTTGTTGGTGCGGAAGACGGTGTGACCCGGAAGCCAGCCCGCATCCGTCATGACATGGAAATATGGGCAGGCGTCCCGTCCAACAACCGCGGAGTTGAGAATGCCTGTAGTACCGGTACGGGTCGATGCGAAGGTGAAGCTGACAATTTCCTCGTTGGATACTGCAGTCGATGGTTGGGAGTGGAACTGCCGTGGTGTTGGGGTCGTCCGCCCGCTGGAGCGATAGTCTTGTGGGTTCATCCTGCGATCCCCTTCTCCAATATCAAAGGCCGGCTTTTATATTGCGTTTTCAGAAGTTGCAGCTCGGTCCGACCATTATAACGTTCATCCTTAAGTAGCTAGTACTCGGAGCCTCGGGGACATTGGAGACCATCGACCTGACAGGGGAATGTGGGTCCGGCGATGTCGGTCGCGCTGAGGACCGCAATTCTAAAATCGCACTGCAATGATGATGCATGAAACAGTTTGCGGCCGCAAAATCCGGGATCGATGTGGATGAGAGATTTGAGTGCGTATCGAGGGCGTG